AATATTTGAACATATATGAATATATACTCGTGTATGTAATTGCAATGAAAACATATTCCTGCTGGCCTGAGTCTGTGTATACCTGCACATTTATTGAAGCCTTCGCTCCGCTGGTAAAGTGTATGGTACAGAACATTTTTGTATTCCTCTATAGGAGTATGTGCGCAGTTTCGTACGCTTATGTATACGCAATCGATGCGTTCATCCGCCCTTGTGCACATGATTTGCTCACCTCTCCCACTCATTGTATATTGAATGGGATTTTACTACTGCCCATTGCAGTACTGTTTGCACGAGTCAACTTCTAGGCATGCCATCACGGGTGCGTTCCAATAATTCATGTGTCATCGAAAGTGTGGTATCCTGGCTACTGGTAGTTGGCTATATACATGGCTAAGTGTTCTTGAGAAACACCGTGTAACCAGCAACAAACCAGCCTCCACTATACACACCCTCCTCCGCCCCTCCTACAGTCTAACGAGCTGCGTATGAACACTTTAAACCTCGACATCCTGGCCACCCTGCTGGAACTCAAAAGTCTGGATCTACGTCACAACAATGCGATCTGTGAGCCCTCCCACCTGGCTGTCTTGGCCAATCAGATGGGAGGATTGGGAGTGGATTGTCCATTCACATTGCGTGCTGCGAAGTCGGAGAAGTTGCACGCGGCGGATAGAGATGCGACACTCCTGCGGTCACAGTTGACACCCCACAGTACGGGCACATTGCGGAGGTTAGTATACTCATATATATATATATATGTGTGTGTGTGGTGTTACTCATATATATATATATATATATATATGTGTGTGTGTGTGTATGTATGTATGTATGTATGTACGTATTTATATATGTATATGTTTGTATGTATGTATGTTTGTATGTATGTATGGCACATGACCTTTCGGTATATGATTTTGGTATACAGTACAGTCAAGACCACACTGTGCTATCTGTAAACTTACGAGAGGTATGTTGTGGATTGACCCACAACTCGTTTCACTTCCTATCGCAATGCCATAGTCGCCGCACCGCACAAACTCGCGCTCTGCGAAGTCAACGAACACGCACACAGATAAGACACGCATGCATATGCACACCCCTATATTGTGAATGGCGAGCACGTGGGCATTCGCAGGTCATCATAGGCTGCGATGTTCTCAGATAGGCACACTTTCCTGGCAGGCAGCCGTGTGCATACTTTTATTCGTTGATCGCTAGCTAAACCACTTAAAATTAGCGGTTCATTGAACCTACTTTCGTATCTGTTCGACTAGTAAGTACACTGAGACAGTGTTGTTGTTCTGATATGACTGCCCATATGATGTGTGCGTGTTGTGGACGCAAGCGCATAAACAGATACACATACACGCTCATACTCACACACATACATGCAGATTCATACATGCACGTACATACATATACATACACACACGCATACACGCATATGCACATACATATATACACATAGACACACATACGTACACAGCCACATACACATTCATACACGTACGTTAACATACCCGTATCAATCTTCGGGTTAACGTTTTATAAACTGTACCACAACCTACCTACCACTCCTCCTCAGGCGATTGGCGTTGGTGTTTGGGGACACCACTGACCCCGATACAGTGGACCGGGAGGGCGTTGTGCAGCGGCTACTGTCACACTACGAGCGAATGGTATGGGATGTGTATATGGTATGATGTGTGTCTATGGTATGATGTGTATATGGTATGATGCGTGTTTATGGTATGATGTGTATATGGCTTGGTGTGTGTATATAGTATGGTGTGTGTTTATAGTATGGTGTGTGTATATAGTATGGTGCGCATATGGTATGATGTGTATATGGTATGGTGTGTGTATGTAGTATGGTATGTGTTTATGGTACGATGTGTATATGACATGGTGTGTGTTTATGGTATGATGTGTATATGTCATGGTGTGTGTTTATGGTATGATGTGTATGTAGTATGGTGCGTGTTTGTAGCATAAATAAGTTGCATGCACAGAACAATAACTGCGGGCCGTCACACTGTGGTTTGGGCCCCTCTCACACTGTGTAGTCTTGGACTGTACCGCGTGGATGCAAACGTTTTATGTACTTATGATCAATCACTACTACTAATATAAGTATTTGTACTTGACAAGTAGCTCATAGCCATAACCTTACTTGTGCTACCACATAGCTACCTGGACACAAACGTATAGCTACTTTTGATTATTTAATACACATACGTGCACGCCTGAAACGCTCCTGTTCGATTGCATCTTTACGCAAACTCATAGACACCAAACACACATACAGAACCGCTCAAGAACGTAGACATACACTCACTTAGTCGTACGTCAGCATGTGTACC